GAAGACCCGAGTGTGGATCTCAGTCCCCTCGACCACTGACCTGACACCTAAGTTTTGGTTCGATTCCTTATCGGTGAATTACTTTTTCTACTTTACGTCTTGTTTTCTTTGATTTACGGCCTTTCTAGCTATTTACTCAGACGGGGTCGGTCTGTACCATGAATCCCAAGTACATTTCTACGCGGCGAACGTGAGAACGGCTATAAAATAAAAGTGCTTACGACGGGAATTGAAACGCTAAGGAACCTTAAATCCAGACACTCCAGAAGCGAATATCCACGCCGGCAACAGAGTAAGATCTAGTAAAACAGGCAAAATAGAATGCACACCAATGACAAAATGGCGAAATATGTTGCTGACGTGCGACGCCCCGGGCGAACAACAGACTTTAAATGGCAAGGTCGTATGCGCCAGTGTGAGAAGACACAATCAAAACTTTCGGCCAAGTGCACCCTCTCATCACCCCGACAGACGCTCCAACGCGAATGGTCATGAAGGGTGCAGGCTGTGAGTTGAGCCACAGAGGCGATGACGGCGTTGGGATGAATGGCCAGGGGCGGACGGAATACTCAGGCACCAACGGCACAGAGTACCATCCAGCCGCCTTCGTGGAAGTAAGATTCACCTATGAGGCACTACCGCAGCTACTAATGTTGATTTTCTCCAATTTAAATGGAATTATTTGAGCTAAATCATCTCAATAATGTAACTTTTAGTTAGTGATGATGGAGTTGAAGCTTTACATGATTTAGGGAAAGCAGGTGTCAACAATATGATGGCACGAGCGATGGATAGGGGGCAAGTCTTTGCGCAAACTATTCCGCAAAGTTTCTTAAGCGTATTTCAAGATAATTGAGCGATTATATGATGATTGCGGCCTCTCATATCTGGCGATTTGATGTTGCTGAGATCCCTGATCAACGTAATTCAAATCTCTCCACACTCACAGAAGCGTCATCAAGCTTAGTCTTCACCTCACCATACATCATCCCGGCTACCCAACACGTGCCAACCAGGCTCCAAGTCGCTTCGCCTCCGGTCTTTCTCAAGATGACAGGCACCGAAGACCCTTTCAGTACACATACGACATCCCCAGCTTCAGCCATGTTTTGTCGGGAAACACCAATGTAGTTGCCCCCGGCTCCTCCTATCTGCAACATCCCGCGATCACGCCAGTCCCAGGCGCTCACACCCGACTTCACCTGGTCATGAACCTCAGGTGAAAGGCCATCCTCTGGATTCCATTCTGCGAGCCTTTCCAGCCATGGACCCTCGATTTCATGGCCAGAGATGAATGCTTTCGAGAGGCTACTATTGAACGCCTCACTGCTGCTGTCGTCTAGGCCGAGTAGCTCGAAAAGGCGCTGTCCTAAAGATTCATCTGCGAATTCTCGATCAATGTACATCAAGTGAAACAAGAAGCCGAGAGCCATCTCAGCTCGGGCTTCGGGGTACCGAAAGAGGACAGCTTCACCACGACCGCCTGATTCGAACACCGCGCGAAATACGGCCTCCTGCGCAGTCATCCCATTGGAAAACTGATTATTACTAGTTATCAGTTGTTCGGTGAGTTTGACTAGCTTATTCTTAGTATCGAATAATGTTGGCTTCGGTAGGTTGCGAAGTACCTTGCCGATACGAATGCCGGACACTAGTAAGTGTCTTTCGCCCGAGATGTTCGCATCTGGGACTTTGGACCCGAAAACTCCGTTATCAGCGTCTCCTATGACCGGCTCAAACAACCTGTTTGATTCAATCCATGCGTGTGGGTAGTTCGGAACCCACGTCGGGAGGTCTGGGGTGACCAGTGGTTGAGTCGCTCCCATGGTCATGTGTAGGCCAGCCATTGGAAGAAGTTCAAGCTCTTTGCCTCGTCCTGTTCGTTTCCAGTATGCAAGATTCTGAGCAAAGTACTCGACATATACCGAAGCGACCGAGACGTCCGGACTGTAGTCGGGAATCAGGGGCAAATTGGTGAGACCAAGCAAGCCATAGATATTATCCTTGGGGTCGGTGGCGGAGAGGGTGTGATTCCAGCTCATCAATTGCCAGCCCCAGCTCTCCCACTCGTCTGCACTCAGCGTTTCTGGTCGTTTGTGTAGGTGCTTCGCCTTCATGAGTCGCATGGGATTGTGCCATGGCACCCTATCGGACGACGTGATGCTGAGCCAGGCAGAATCAACCATCCACGAAGGCTTCTGCAAGTAGCTCCGGATCTCTTTCAACCTTCCGATCCAACTGCATGTGAGGAAAAAAGCTATCCAGTCAACAGAAGACTTCCCAGACAACAGAACCAGGTTCTCTGCGAGGACAATCTCTTGAACTACCCATACGCGAAACCAGTAAGGCAGGATGAAAAGAGACCGAACGCTCTTCCACGACTGATTGGAATGCCAGTCGTTTTCAGGTCCTATATCAGCCAAGATGAGCTGTGGCCAATCTTTCATCCAGCTGATCAGTTCGTGCGGCTCAACTCCTCCAATGTGGCGTCGTCCTACGACTTTGTCCATTTCGTGAGCCACCAGGTTGATCGTTTCAAATGCTGCGCCAATCTCCTCGGTATCCGTTCCGAGCCACGAGAACGCGAGCTCGGCACTCGCGTAAACTCGCCGCATCAGTTGCACTTGCTGATTTCGTTCTGCGACATCTTGTTGGTTGATGCAAAGGGCATCCACCCAGAGTCTGAAGCCTTGCGGATGTCGGCCAGGAAACGTGTCCATCCAATGATCTTGGAGATGCTGAAGAGCGTGGAAGAGATTTTTAGTTGCTTGAAACTCCTGGTCGTTCAAAAGGATTGACTCAGTGATGGAAGCATCTCCCCAGACGTATGATAGGGCTGTGTATACAGGCTTTTCGTCGAGAGATACCGAACTGAGTCTCAGGGACGGCTGACCAGAGAAGCTGACATATTCGAGAAGCCTGATTTCTGACTTGCCAGCATCGAGGGGTTCATACAGCGGCATTGCTTCTTCAAGCGTCTTGCTAGCTTGTTAGGCCCCCTTCAAAAGGCACACGGTCGTCACCTAGTCGATATTTTGACTGACATATCCCATCATGGTGTGCCTGATGAGGCCATTCGTGAATAGATGCCTGCTGTCAGATACATCTCGCGGGGAACCATCCTATTCAGGCAAGGTGGTCAACGAGAGGCAGGGGAGTTGTGCAGGCGAAGATGGCGTTGGGACTTGCTGGGAACAGGGGAGGTCCATTGGCTGCACGAGCCATTTGGTGTACCTGCAACACCTGCCACAAGGCGGCATCGCCCGAGACCTCCCCGCGGACCATGACTGGGGTCCCCTAAGACACCTGGAACTCAATTGTAGACGTTTCTTCCGACTTCACATCACACCGCGGACACCACCTCGTTTCCCAAACCGGCGGCCATCATGCCGCGTAGCCGTGAGAAATATGGCAAATCTTCAGGTTTTACAAGCATCATAACAATTGAATAGCCCAGAATCCGAGATCCTCACAGAGTCAGCCTCGGTGGCTAGAGCCCAAGCGTATATTCAATTGGTGGGAGTTGAGTGTGGCTGAGAAGTTCTTTGTTCGCCGCCGGCGGCCGCCGCCATCCAACCGTGTATCAGTCACACTGGCGGTTTCGAAACATACCAGGGTAAGGTATGTAGGCTCTTGATAAGAGTTGGGAAAGAATTGGAGATCGAATAGCTGCTTACCACAGAGGCGTGGCAGTTGGAGCCTCGCGACCTCGGCCTGAAATTGAATACTGCAACTTGATCTGCCATTCCTTCAATCTTCAAACAAGCTGCCAGGTGACTGTTCAGCATCCTCGTGTAACATTGGCCAATGTAGCACCGAGAAAAGAGCGACAAACCAGGGTGGTGGCAGAAATGTCCCTCATAACGCGATGTATCCCTCCCTCTCCAGGGCCGAATCAATGCAGCATGGTGAGCGGCTCAGCAACCATCACCTATTGCTCGCATTCCAGCAAATCAGAATACAGGGACACCACATGGCCGAACTTGTGGCTGGTTGCCTGTCGTTTCTGCCTTCCATCACCATTCCAGCCAACCAGCCAGAAGCACTAGCCACAGCATGCACGATGAAGCTTCCATTGAAGCCCTTGGATTTGTTAGCTGCAGAACACCAGCCACAATCACTCCGGAGACAGTAACGGACTTTCCGCAGTGGCCCCGACCTCAAACGCCGGCAGGGACCTCATTTCCCCGACAAGAAACATGTGCAACGTCTCATTGAATGCCGGTGCCGTGTTATTAGCGCCTTGGAGACCTCCGAGAACCATGTGGTGGAGACTACGAGATTATCCCTCAAGATCGTCGTGGCTTATACCATGCATGCTGGGCAGTATGTGACCAGTATTCTTCCGGGGTCCAAGAGTAATCTTCCCTAGTCGACACACGAGCTTCTCCTTGAGGAAGGTGTCGAGTGTCCTTGCATGTTCTCGAAGGATGAAAGAAGACTACCTGAGGGGTTCTTGAACGAAGACGATACCATGAAGGGCCTAGACAGCCTCCCGACTTGCCACGCACCGGGTTTCTGGGACGCTGGAAGTGGGTGTAACGGCCCGTAGCCTTAGGAGGAGCAAGCCAGGTTGAATCCGGTACGACGAGGGGGTGTGAAGCAGTATGCGAAGTTGGTCATCTCCACTCTGGGGCAAATCACCGGTGACGGTGGGATGGCGGTTAAATCAAGTCCATGTGCGAACGGCCGCGGGTCACCGGCGGACCATTGTGTTATTCTTCCTGTGTCAAACTCAATAGCTCTTGCTCAAGTTGATTTGGCTTCGAGAGCATCATTGGCAGTTCGCCAGTACCTCATGTCTGTCCCAAACCTGTTCACCTTGAAATGACTGCCGTTATATACAGTCTTCCCAGTCGCACTCGGCCAAGGTTTTGATCTTGTATAAGACCCTCCCCTCGCCAGTATCGTAGAGGATTTTATTCCAGCAAGTCGAGACCACCGAGCTTCGATGTAATAACTTCATTGAGGAATCTCATTCGTTGCTCTGAGTCGCGGCCATGTCTTCTCCTGGTTCTAGTCCTGATCATGGGATGTAAGTTGAAGCTCTTTCTCGCCATTGAGAAGACGGTGTTAACCTTTCTCAAAACCCAGTGATTCAACTGTTCCTCGGATCAACCCTGTTGATAAACACATACCTCGACAATCCCAACTGGCTCGGTTTCAGCAGGAACATCTCCAAGACGGCAACACCCTCGTGCCTCTTTCCCACAACCCTCGGGACTTGAAGTCTGCCATCGATCACCACAGAAGCCGAGCAACTAGAGCCATCAAAACCTTCCAGCAGAGCTTTACGAAACACAAGTCAGACGATTCAACGGACTCACCAACCAATAAGACTAGCTCTACTGGAGTAAACTACGGGAGTTGCTGAAGTTGGACTACCATACGAGTGCTAAAGCGGAAAGCTTTGGGTAACTCCATACAAAATATTTCACCTAGATCTTTGCTCACGCATTTGACGTTGAAGAAGCAAGGAACATCTTTTCTCGGAGTTAGGAGAGACGCCAACTGCAGGTAGATCTGCACCGTGGCATCAGTGTAAAGATCTATATAGGCATGAAGACATGAGGGAAGGTCTCATCCGAGAAGAGTTGAGGCTTTGCGCTGTTCTAGTCTCCGATCGATCCTAAATTCAAGTCCCCTTCTTTACCTTAGGGCCGTGACATCCGATAGACACATCTTCGTCCGTGATATTTGTAATAGTGAGCAGATAGGGGGCTGCATCTCGAAGGGTAGAGGGGCTTTAGTGCGCATGCACTCTCTTCATGGGTTCAATTACTTCTCGAATCGGGCAATTAGCATGGACCTCGAACAAATTCATACCGCTTTGTTTGTCGCCAACTATGTTTTCCTAAAGGACCCCTGCATTTCCGCCGTTCTGGCCAGATTAGGCTCAGAGACCGACCATGCAAGCCGGTGCACACACAAATGAGTTGACCAACGAGATTCAGTCCAATCATTCGATCCGAACGTAATCCGAGAAACCAACGAGTGGAGTTGCTGGCGCTTGCGCCGTACGAACACATTCTTGTGGATACACAACGGGGGTCACCTCGCTGCCAACAGCTTCGCCCAGGAAATAGCATTTAACCCCGTCTTTCCCCTCAATCTTGATCCAGTGTGCCCTCTTAAAGCCGTTCTCTTGTTCGGGCCGATACATGCAGACTGCGCAATCTCTAAGCAAACTATGGCCGAAAATAGAGACAGTGTTCCGGAATATGTACGATTCCAGCCTTGACAGAAGTTCGAATACATGATCCGTGCTAAAATGGTAGACAGAATCCTCGAGACAACGACGGCGCCTCAACTACAAGTGGCAATGTTAGTATCTCACGCAAAGATAGTTAACTTCCGCAATGTTGATAGCAAACAGTCTATCCATGATTCTCTTTTTTCTTTGCGATCGAGTATCCTTGATTATCGGAAGGAAAATGGACGCACGTATCATAGGGTCAGTGATGGGAGTAAGTTTGTCGCGATCGTTAGCTCTGAAAAGTATTTACTGAGACCATCGAACAGAGTACTATCTTCCTAACGATGAGGTGAGGTGTCTTTCGTATCTCGAGGAGTCGTCCTGACTTACTTGAAATGCCCAACGCAGACGGAACAGGACCGTTTAGGTACGTGTCAGTCTGCTTCCTAGATCTTGGACACGCAATCCAACAGCCGATTTTAGATTTCGCCAACCATTTGTGGATAATTACTTGGGATGGGAAGCTATGTAATTGCCCCAAAGTCGAGGGCGCCAGGCGAGTCTTGGATGTTGGAACTGGGACGGGCATCTGGGCCCTTGATTATGGTAGGTGGGATGGCTTGAGAATAACTTGACACGGGTTTCAAGGTCATCGCTAACGGTTTAACAGCGGAAGCTCACCCCGAAGCAAGAGTATGTCAGAGGAACTATTTTCCGAAGCACGAAATTCCATTGACGAGGCAAGCCAGGTTATCGGTGTTGATCTAAGCCCTATCCAACCCATCTAGTGAGTAGTTCTTCGTTGGCGGCGTGAAGGGAGCCATATTTTGACCGTTCTTCAAAGCGTTCCGGTCAATTGCCGCTTTGAAATCGATGATCTTGAGGAAGAATGGACTTGGACAGAGCTCTTCGACTTCATAATGATCAGATCAATGGTTGGAAGTTTCAAAAGCTGGTCCGACACCATCAAGCAAGCCTACGAGTAAGTGCTCCGCCCTAGGGCATGTGTGGGATTCTGCTTTAGCTTACGACAATTCTAAGCAACCTGGAACCGGGAGGGTATCTCGAGATCCAAGACAACGAGTTTCCCATCTTCTGTGATGATGGTTCCATGCCTGCAGACTCCCAAGTCCTGAAGTGGACTCAGCTCGTTATTGAAGCCACGAACATTGTGGGGAAGTCAATGACTGTGGCGCCTACCTTCAAGCAGTTGCTCGAGGATGCCGGGTTTGAGGATGTCCAGGGGCGACAAGAGAAATGGCCAATTAGTCCATGGCAGCAAAAAGATTTGAAACAGAGGGAACTGGGAATCTGCTGTAGAGAGGGTACCTTGGAAAGCCTTGAGCCGATTTGCATGGCCTTGTTCACACGCGTGCTTGGCTGGAGTCGAGTGCAGGTCCTGGTGTTCTGTGCAGGGGTTAGAGAGGAATTGATTCACCAAAGGGTTCACGGCTACTTCAATGCGTAAGTAGTCTCCGACTGACATTGGCCCGTATAGTTCTGGTTAGCTAACTGCTTTAATTAGGTACGCTGCCTGGGGACGGAAGCCTCAGAAGAAAGCAAGGCCAGAGACTACCTAGTTAGACATGACATGGCACATCGTGCTTCTTACTTCATAATACCATCTAGAGTTCGTTCAAAACCAAGGCAGTCTCCAATCTTAGTCGCTGTGGATTGTAGGTAGACAGCTGTTGAAGTCCAAATATTGTGATATCTCAACCAGTGAAAAGAGCCATAATGGAGCTGCATAAGCCTTTGGGAGCTTTGAAAGAGTATTTTGAATTGATTGATGTTTCTGCAGAGGGAAGGACATCGCACCTACCAGCTGGGATAAGGTCAACTGAATCTAACCCCATGTGTTATGGGACTCGCTTTCTTGACCCTTGTCGAACAGCTCGCCAATATGCAGACGATATTTGACGAAGACAGTGCAGGCCAATCACGGAGTAGAATAACGCATCTGGAAGCACCTGCAAGCGGGTCTGTTTGTTGGTTGTTGGAAGTGCAAAAGAAGGATACTACCTCGGTCCCAACAGCCACGACGCAACATTCGACTTTCTTTCTTTCCCCTCAATCTTGCCAACTACACTCCAAGCCTGACACTACAACTCGACAATACCGAAGAATTTGGCGGGAATTGACAGGAAACATGGCTGAAAACGCGCAAAATCCCGCTGAGGTGAGCGCAACGCCCTCCATGTTAAGATTCGATGGATTAACATGCTAATTCAACCGATAGGATGACAGGACTGATGATGACACCTCATCCATAGGTGGATCTGTAAGCAAGTTGGATTCTTGGATGACATTTCCCGGCTCACAGACGATAGTCTGTTGAAGAATCGACAGCTTCCTTACGATCCAGCATTCTGGACTACCGTAGAGAAAATGGCCGCACATACCATAGGGTGAGCGATGGCAGTAAGTAGATCTCTGCGGCTTTGATCCTTGACCCATCACTTACAGGCTATGTGCTAGGCTACCTCGCTCCCAACGACGAAGTACGTCATAACTACCATAATGTGTGAGAATGAGGTCAATGCTAATCTACAAAGTAGCAAGAACAGGACCGTCTGGGTAAAGTCTCAATACCAACCCTTCTCAAGGAGCATCCGTGGCACTGACTGCCATTGACAGATTTCTCTCATCACCTGTGGAAGTTGACCTACGATGGTGAGCCATGCAATTGTCCCAAGAAGACTGGCGCCAAAAGAGTTCTTGACATTGGAACCGGGACTGGTATTTGGGCTCTTGACTACGGTAAGTCTACCGAGTTACCCGCGACAGCTTGTCACTATGCTAAACCACTGAAGCGGATGATAACCCGGAATCATTTGTGAGCTCTCTCATCGTGCACCGAATCATGATTTGAGCGAACCTAATCGAGAAAACGCAGGTCCTCGGCGTTGACCTAAGCCCTATACAACCTAAATTGTTAGTCAACGCTGATCTGCCAGGCGGAAAGCTAGCGTACTGACGAAATAGCGTCCCGCCGAACTGCCAGTTCGAGGTCGACGATGTTGAGAAAGAGTGGACTTGGTCAGAGGCATTTGACTTCATCTTTTCTCGGTCCATGAATGCTGCATTCAAGGATCGTGCAGAGTTCGTTGCCAAAGCCTTCGAGTAAGTCAAAAAACTTCATGGCCATACCGCTTCAGAATGGAACTGATACTCTGGGAACACAGAAATCTTGAACCGGGCGGATACTTGGAAATTCAGGACAATGTCTTTCCTTTACTCTGTACCGATGGTACTATGCCGGAAGATTCACTTATCTACCAGTGGTCGAAATTGATCATGGAGGGCACTGATTTGATTGGGCAGCCGCTTAATGATGCTCCGAAGTTCAAGAAGATGCTCGAGGACGCTGGATTCGAGGATGTGCAGGAGAGGAAGGAGATCTGGCCGATAGGAACCTGGCCTGAGAGGGGGACCAAGGAGCATGAGCTGGGCATGTGGTGCCGTTCTATCACCATGGAAAGCCTGGAAGCTCTCTCTCTTGCTCTGTTTACTCGCGTTCTGGGATGGTCGCGGGAGGAGACGGTGGTATTCTGCGCCGGGGCTCGGGAAGAGTTAAGGCAACAAAAAGTTCACGCCTACTTCGACGTGTAAGTCTAGATCCCTACTTTTGGTGAGACATATTGACTGACTTGCCCTCTAGTTATGCAACTTGGGGCCGGAAGCCTGAGAAGCAGGATGAGTCTCAAGAGGGGCCTGCCGGTGTCAGTGCTGTCTGAATATAGCTTTCACAAGTAAGTAGTAGGAATAACTACTCTCAGGCAGATGAGAGATCTTCTCAGGGCAGTGGATGCTTTGGAATGTCGAGACTTGGGCTCCCAAGCTTGTGTTCGGAATGTGCGATGGTAAAATTATGATATCTTCCGTTCGGCCTTTCCTTGAAAAGTGAGTGACAGTAGAATCCGCCGCTGGTACGTCTACCTCGCCTTTCTCGTTTCCAGTATGCCACGTATGTGGCGTATGCTGGAGATAACCCACTTAAGTAGAGCGATGGTAGAAAATGCGATAGTAACAGAGAGGGGGGAAGTGGAAGATCACTATGTCATTCACTCGTACGGCTGGGCGCCAAATGCATCCTCGGCCACGCAGAAACGGCCATCGAATCTAGCAACTTGTTTGCAATCAAGTGAATAGCATAACGATTTGCCGCTCTAGCTTCTCCAGTTATTCTTCTACTGTTCTAATTTATATTCTTCTTTCGAAGATTGTTCCCTGAGGAAAGCGATACTAATCTTGAAGATAAGAGAGATATCCAAGAGAACAAGAAAGTTAGAAATAATACCTAGGCAAATAGATAGCATATCTCTTGTTGACCGGCATCCTGATCTGTCACGCATCTGGCATTCTAACTTGGAAGTACTCTGGTCAACCGGGTAAATTCAGCATTGGTCCTGACCACCTTGCATATGCAGGCGAGCTCATCCAAACGATTTGAACCAATCAAAAGGTGACAAACATGATTTCACTCGATCCAACAGACCTCAGAGCGGGGAGTGGCGGATGGTTATTGGGAAACCAACAAGGGGTCCTCTTCTGCTTCAGGAATTAAACAAGGAGACATTAAATGGGACTGTTTCCCCTCATTCCTAGATATGGAACCGTTACCCTTCACTCTTCCCACGTTGATTGTGCTATTGGAAAACTATCTGTATCATGATGGCCGACCAAACGCCACCGCCTGAAGCTGAGGTAAATGTCAATTGCAACTGCGCATGAAGTAACTAACACTGACATTTGCCAGACCCCACACAACGACAACGACACTAATTCAGACAGCAGTTCTGTGAGTGGAGTCCTTTTGATGGAGGAGGGCAAACTGATTCTAATCGTCGGTAGTCATTTGAAAGCTCATTGGCCTCTGTACGGTCTAGTATCCTCGACTATCGCCGTGAAAACGGTCGCACATACCATCGGCTCAGCGACGGAAGTAAGAGAACCTCCACTATGTCTGAAATCGAAGAGGCTAACGAGTTGACGTCCTGTCACAGAATATGTTCTCCCTAATGATGAGGTACCGACGTATGAGTTGCGTGGTGAAGAAATGTAGCTGACCTGAGATTTTTCCTAGAGTGAACAAGATCGACTAGGTAAGAGTAACCACCTTCTGCTAGGTCATTACGTGAAGTTAACATTTGCTTAGACTTGACGCACAACCTATGGCTGGCGACTTGGGACAATAATCTTTGCAATTGTCCCAAGAAAAATGGCGCCAGAAGAGTTCTTGATATAGGCACTGGCACAGGGGTCTGGGCGCTGGATTATGGTCAGTAAACCATTGCGAAGCTTTGTGGCTCTTTCTAACTTGATGGCAGCGGATGATCATCCTGAGGCTACCGTATGAGCTACTACTACAGTGTAACTGAATCGAAGAATCCGGCTAAAATAGCTACAGGTCATTGGCGTGGACTTGAGCCCAATACAGCCTGGCTTGTCAGTACTTTCCCGATCCTGAAGCCAAGACCATCTTCTGACTGACTTTATGCAGTGTACCGCCCAATTGCAGTTTTGAAGTCGATGACATCGAGAAGGAATGGACGTGGTCAGAGGAATTCGACTTCATCTTCTTTCGATCCATGATCTCAAGCTTCGCTAGTTGGCCTGATATGATAGCTAAAGCCTACGAGTAAGTTATCTTGGAATCTAGATGTTGTGGTTGGCCATCATGTTGATATAATCGCAGCAATCTCGAACCAGGCGGGTACATAGAGATACAGGACAACATGTTTCCTCTGAAATGTGACGACGGCACTATGCCGGACGACTTTAAGCCCTTGAAGTGGTCCAAGCTACTTATGGAGGCGACCGACAAGATCCAACGGCCGATCACTGTTGCCGCGACCTTCAAGCAGCTGGTTGAGGACGCAGGGTTTGTCGATGTTGTGGAGAAAAGAGAGAAGTGGCCCTTCAACCCTTGGCCAAAGGATGAGAAACTGAAGGACTTGGGCTCGTGGAGTCAAGCTTCTACCATGATGGGTGTCGAAGCCATATCCATGGCTGTTTTCACTCGCGTCCTCGATTGGAGCCCAGAAGAAACGAGTGTTTTCTGCGCCGAAGTAAGAAATGAACACAAGAAGATTGGCGTTCATGCATACTACGATGTGTAAGTGCCGGTGCTCAAGCCCGTACGAAACTAAGAACTTTTCTAATGAAACCATCAGATACTCTGTCTGGGGCCGGAAACCTGAAGCCAAAGAAGAGGAGAATCAGCCCAGTGCTTCTTAGAACAGCATACGTGGCACGCTTGCACTGAAGGAAAGACTCACCAATATCGTTCAATACTCATGCCTCTCATCTGACCGGGCATTTCAACGAGCCATGACCGTGACCTCAATGATCTGCAGCCGCATATACCAGCCATCGTAGAGCCTGGGAGCAATTGCGCCCGCAATCCGGGACAGGTGATGTGTCCAGGCATTGATGATTTGCTAAGTGGCAAGTTCTCCTGCGGAGCTGTTGACCTTGTGAGAAATCCCGCCGAATACCGAGCCTTGGGGATGTCTCGGCCTCCTTTCTAGACAGTAGATCTTTGCCTGGCCAGACCGTTCCCCGAAGCTGAATTGATGTGAGCCTCAATTTCAGCACCTCGCCTCAACGCCCGCAACGATGCAGCACCCCATGTGCCCGCACGCGCGCAGATTTCGTAGCCCGCAACGATGCATCTTGATCCTTCAATTTCTTTCCCCCCTGGCGTGCGATGAAGTATTCGCGCGCGAGAGGCAGGTAACTCCACACATCCCATAAGAGTTCCTCCTCCATTCCATTCCGCCTTGAACACCACGGCGTTTCCTGCCAAGTACCCTACTTTGCTAATCAACTGATGATGAGTTGACGGGTGGCTACTCGCTTCCGATAAAGGTTGAGTACACTCCATCTACCTCTTGTTATCTCCATATCTCACTAAAGTCGTAATCTTAAGTGCCCCAAACCGAATGGCTCTAAATTCTTTTGCTTTTTCCGACCGGTACATGAATCACCCAGGAAGGCAACTCGCCCATACAATAACGGGCAAGTTTGACCATTAGCCAACGCATATAGGTTTCATTTTACGTAAATATCTTGGAATCTGCAAGATCTTGTTGTGCCTTGTCATACCACCGACCTACTATCCGGGATGCGCCCGTAGTCAAAATCCTGGTCACTGAGATGAACATGTATGGTTGAGAGCCAAGTATCCTCGAAAACCCGATGCTCCGAGCCATCTGATGAGCGCATGGGTCTTGTGTTCGCCGCTGAAGCACCTGAGAGGAAGTTCGTGCATAGTCGCCTCGCGGCTCTCAGCTGGCTTGTAATGCCGGAGACCAATCGCGGGAGACTTTGTAAGCGGACGGGCGTTTGACACAAGGCACCTTTGTGGAGCGGGGGAAAGGGAGCAATTCTGCGGGCGCAAAGTCCCAGGAGCATGCAGCCAACTACACTTGATTCGACAATCACCAAAAGATGCCGAGATCTTAATGTTCGACTTGTAAACCAAGCTTCCTTGGTTTCTCATTTGGCTAGCAAAACTCGGATCCACGAAGTTATGGCTCGCTTTGGTCAACATACCTCGTATAAAGTACGAAGAATGTACCAAGTTTCTTGCGAAAGACGATATCACTTCCTGAAGTTATGCCTTCGTTCTTATTGGAACCAAATCAAGTACAACTGCCATCTAGTGCGCCTTATGGACACTCTATCTAACCAATGTGTCGCGAATGGGTACGTAAGTCCCACGGTCCTCCCTAGGAACGTCAACTTCAGTCTGTATCAAGGTAACATCGATTTGATTGACTTTGTTCTAGCGATTCAGATATATTCAACACAACTGCACGTAAAGAAGAGACCAAGGCCCTTCAGAACGAACGCAAACTCTTGTTCTTGGCTGACCGGGACGATCCCTTATTTCTGCTGCAGCAGCCAACGGAATCGGTCGAACGTCGATATGTGGCGAGAAGATGCGCTATTAGACAGGCTTTGAACAAAACTGGGAGATGAAATGCAATCATTACACACAATGGTCAAAGATTCTCCCATATAGGGAGAGTGATATGGTCGGCTGTAATACCTTGGGATAGCTACGGGGCGATCAATGCACAAAGATTTTAGGTAAGACTGTGTCCGCGAATCTGTCTTCTATTTCACGCTGACGCCTCCATACTTGAGAAAGATGAACATTGATTCATATCACTAGCTGTATGATTGCTGGTATCCTTGGCATGACGAAACGGCTTCTGTCACTCTATTTTGCGAGCCATCACCGGAGCCGGACTCGGGGTTCCCGTGATAGTGGGGTAAGCCAGCCGGCCCACACGGACACGACTTTGCCAAAATTCCGGTGCGTCCCTCTTTCACCATGGGCAGCGTTCCCCGGATCTTCAGACATTACGAGGCATTGCTTCAGCTTCATTAGATCAGACCATACCAAACAAAAGTTCTTTTTTGGTTGTAGTTTCAAAACTTGTGACCGCGATCGACCAGACGAGTCCCGTTGTTCCTGCCTGAGTTTTACAGGATGTTCTTCCACGAGACAACCCGTTTTCTTGTCATGGTACGGGGAAGTCGGTGCGTGGGGAAGTTTGTGATAACATTGGTTGTCACCGCATATATGTCTAGCTTTAGTTACGCTGGAAGCATCCGGAGATTTGACTCTAACAAGACCGTATGCCAACAACGTGTAGTTACTATGTTGGTTGCATTCTAGCACATCTTGGTAAGTAACCTATCAGCTGAGATAGCCGGTAGCAACAGGAAGTCACAAAGCTAAGCCTCCGAGCTGACTCGAGACGTCCTCAAGTACAGCGAATTTCACGACATTTTCGATAAGGCGAATCCAGCTTGGTATCTCAGCCGTCGCAGAAGTTCTGGGGTCAAAAGCTCCAAGAGCTACCGGCACAGAGCATGATAATAGCTTGAGAACTTGATCTGTTCCACTAAGCATTCGAAACCGTGAAGCCGTGGTATCAATGACAGCGCGCAAAGATTCCTGGCGGGGCGCCTTCGGTGGCCTCGACTTGAACTTGTCGAATAAAACAATAAAAAAAAATGAGCGGATAGATGTCACGTCTGTCAAACTGATTTTCACGCTGCCCGTTGCCTCGTTTTGATCGTGTATCTGGACGGCATTTAGTCGACTTTTGAAGCGCAGAAGTGACCGCTACCCCCGAAATCCATCCGACTGGTTCATGAAATCAATCCAAAACGGCATAGAGTGATGTTGCTTGTCATGGTCGATGGGTGCGAATAAGAACCAGGACCATGGGAACGCGATGGTGAAGGCGTCGCCTCAATCCGCCGAGTCGGTCGTTTGAGATCGAGTTTTAGGCTGGTCGAATTATCCAACTACCCCTTGTATGTCGAGAGGTGTTCGACAAGCAGACGTCACTACCGGTTCATTTTGTTCAAAGAATGAGATTTGTGACGGTTGACACTCAAGAAGCCGAGACAGATGTCGAAAGTCGGGGATCTCCAATTCGATGGAGGTAGGCAAAATGATACCAGAATCCGGACTTCTTGGTTCTCGCTGACTGCAGATTCTTCCGGATTTCCTGAGTCAGTGATTCCAAAAGAAATGCTGTGAAGGACGGAAAATCATTGAATATGGCGAAACCGACCTTGAAGTTGGCCCATCGTTGCGTTAGTTAAGGGGAGAAAAAAAGAAGGGGAGACGATGAAGACCCTAACTTCCGGCTGCTTTGGCGAACCATTTGTAGTGCGAACCATGCAACCCATCGCCAAGCAAGAGGCGGATTGCAAAGCTGTCTGGATCGGAGCCATCGGCCAATGGAAGCGCTGTTAAATCGAGCGGTGAGAGAGCTCTGCCTGGTGTAACCCCAACTTCCCTCCTTTTTGCTGTAGGCATTTCAGAAACCCCTAGGCAAGCGCCTGCCTAAATGAGGCGACCGCTGTCAAGTAAAAGCCGCAACCCTCCCGCAGCCCCTTTGACCGAAGCATAGGACATATGACCAGAACATATGATCTGCTGCTGACGTGGAAATGGAGCTCGCTGTTTTTAAAGTCATATGATATGCCGGATCTCTCACCGAAGAGTGGCACAGGTCAACGTGGCATTTGTTCTTGATGCAAGTGAGGCTGTTGAATGACAGCACCATTTTCACAGAGTTGGGAGGACCTCGCCATGAGTGGTCAGTTCTGAGACCGAGAATAAGGCGGGAATGTTGCTCATCTTTCTCCATTTGCTCCCCGCACTGCTTGGTCAATGTTTGCCTTGGAGACTGACTGCCTGCTTGTCCCTCGGCTTCGACGCCTTGTGTGCTGTCTCGCGAACCACAGGAAGGGTAATGTGCCTGAAGGTTTAGGAAGAGCGACACAGCCTATCAAAAGGAGACGATCAATTGCACCAATGCTATCCGTTGAAGAAGCATTATATCCTCGCAGATGTCCCTGAAAGCAAAGCCACCAGTCCACCTCTGACATACCGACTTCGACCTCAAAGATTCAAGAGTTGTCTGAGTAGCTTTGCGCCGGGTCTTTCAAAAAGGATGATTTTGGCATCTTACTCTCAATGGCTGATGCGATCACCAACGACGACCGAGGAATCAAATGAGGATCTCGATACGTCCAATACGGATTCGACCTGGATGAGGATTGGGCAAGTCATGTAGAGTGTCAGTCATTGTCGTGAAGGCGCATCTCGCATGGGCTTTGGGAGGAATTTCTACCCCAGCTTCCGGAAGGCTTGAAAAGATATTGAACGTACAGGATTCGTTTCAACCCTTTTTGACTGGCGTTGTATCATATAGGAAGTTGTAGTTAACATATCAATTTGAACACTTTATGACACCTGTAACAACATATCTCGTGTTGTTGATAGGCACGAAAGGGCACTCAAATGATTTGGGATCGTCGTTGTTACACTTATCATGAGTATCAGTCTTCACATCTATCTTGGTGAAGATGCTTTCGACTGGGCAGACAAACATCTTTCTTTCAGACTGAGTCAATGAAAAAGACAATAACTTCTGTGGCCGCCACGCATATTGCATCGATTTTCGAGTTAAGTGTGTGCCCCGGTATCGAGCTCATCTTCACAGGCGATTTGAGTCAAAGCGGATCTAATAACACTCAGTTACCAGAGGACAGTAACAATGACCATTTTGATTTTGAACTCAATGGTAGTTTTCCCGTCTAGATCACTATAAAAGTCTTCACAGCACCAGATGCTTTACATCAATCGCATGCTTGGCATTCATTCTGCGGCTAGAAGCCCAGAAAGGAGACGAGAGGGAGTACTGCCATCGAAAGAGATCACATTAAGGTAATGGAGAATAATAGCTACTTAATTCGAGGTACAGGCGCACATGGGTGCAGCCGCATGGTCCATGGGCACGTAAAAGACGAATAAGGACTAAACCATTTTGGCTATCCGTACCTCGCCCAACTCAGTTCAATGAGCGGCTACTACTTCGGATGAAACAACTTTGGCAGCCAGCATCCCGCAGTATGGCCCCCCAGATAAGAGGCAGCAGTGAGGCGGCTGGGCAGCGAACCTGCCCGACCAAGCTGCAAACTTGGCTGGGGATACGTACTATTGAGGCGTGTTAGCCATGAGGGGGCAGGGGGGGTGTGGGGCACACCCGTCCCTGTGAGGTGGTTTTGGTTCAAGAAGCTTTTGGATCATCTCAGGGTCTTGGATTCGATACATGCCAAAACGGGCATTTGGCTATATGTCTGCCCTCACGACCACAGCTAGAAAACTTGGCGTATAAAGAAACCCAAGGTTCCAGAAATTTACAATAGCTATGTCTTGATCATGAAGCATTCAGCTTATTCACCGCCAGCACTCCTACCATCGGGCAGTACCTCTGTCGTATGTATCAGTAGCTAATCCTAAGAAGCGCTGATCAGCCTGAGTTTCGTTACTATGGACAACATCTCTACTCGCGCCATCGTGAATGGGTATGGCTTACACACATCCTCTTTCGTCATGATCAGGACTACACGTTCCCCTGTTGCGGGAAGCCTACCGAAGCTGATGCAGGTTCTACAGGGACGCCTCGGAAACTGCCAATGTGCCTCGAGTTCATGGAACTAAGATGCACGGCGCAGCACGACTCGAGTCTTTCCTCAAAGACGATGGTCTGAAGACGATGTTGCCCTTCATGACAACTTCGACCGAGAAGTCTCAGGCCGATCATGAAGCTAAGGCAAGCGAGGACATCGAAAAGATCATGGCCAACTGGGATAAGTGAACAGCAAATGAATTACCTTTGGAATTGCTTGATATCTTAGCACGCGCGACGCTGGATAGGTACGTTCCCAATTATAGGGGGGCGGTCGAGTTGCTAATATCATCGTTGTAGTGAACGGATCACATAGATTGCGATTTTCATCCGATTGAAGGAAACTTATTTCTTGATACCTACTACTTGATCACTTAACATAGTCTTCGAGACGATGCCCCCTACCATCCCATATCGACATGGATGTCAACTATCCGAAGAGCTGCAGCTGTCTTGATGGTCTGGTATGTGGGGTCAAACATGGAAGGGTGCTGTGGTTGCACTTGTCCCAAACGTCTGGGCCGGCCGGGGATACACAAGGGTCTCGCGAAACCAGAGCCAAGTCGAGGTACTGCCTAGGTTCCTGCACTTGATAGGCTCTGAGCTTCAGGTCTGCTCAATGACGACGAGGCCCATGCACAGGAAAAGCGTTGCCCCGCAAGTCTGGAGCTTCAGTGGGGTACAGACTATGTATCCGCAGGCGCGAAGTAGCGGGCAGATCCCCGGCTCGGGCACTATCACGTCAATTCACCAGCAGGTACCCTAGCTTACCTTACTTTTATTAACAATATTACGGCGGGAGAACTGCGCCCTGCTCTCTCTCCTCCGTACACCTTACTTGCTCTTGTATATCATTTGGTTGCACTTCGAATTGACGCCCATGTTTGCGTCGCATTGTCATACGATTAAAGTGCCAATTTGGACGATGTTGCCAAAGTTGAAGCACGGAGACGTCCGCTACCAACCCATAAACTATGTAGCACGTTGGAAAGAGAGCCGTAAGAAAGCACCATGATAACGGATTCGCCTAGGTAAAGACATGAAAAAACAATTACCATAATAGAATTTGTTCATGAGATGCAACGATGCAGCTGATACTGAGAAGAGCCATGTAAACTTTTCCAGGCGTCATTATCAATTGCTTGGTACACCATTGTGTGAAGCACTCATCGACCAAGGGTGCCACTTTGTCGACCAATCAGTCAGGGGGAAATATCAAGGGCAGTACGGTGTTGTTGTGATCGGGACCCAAGAAAACCTCTGTGATGCGATGGCAGCATGCCTAGTCTGGGATAGGGAAATTTTACTTCACGAGCAATGAGTACATTATGGACACTTGCGGGCAGGGCAGAGACTGACAAGCAGCTGTACATCTAGCATCGGAAGACAGTAATAACGGCTTGAGTCTTGAAGATATCTCAATCAGCCTTTTGAAGGTTTCTCCACACCTTGACCTCTTGAGACCAGGCTCGCCGGATGTTACTAGCCCAACAAAGCTCACGATCGCTTGTAAATTTTGTCTGGAGCGGCATTGCTGACCAGCCTTAATACTTGCTTGAGCTTGGGATAGCCACTCAAACCGAATGACGTCTACTTGTCAGTGGATGCAGACCAATGTTGGCTGGATCACATGCACACGTGGCCCAGTCCCCATCTGGAGTGCGCCGCAAGTCCGGCCATGGGCGGCTCGTCTTGTTGAAACGAAACCAAAGTACCATTGTATTCGGCCTGTCCTCGAGAACTGACCCAGGATGGATGAGAAAACTGTACGAGCACTCAGGGTGGACGTCGGCCTTAGTGCATATTGACATGACTTGAATTACACAAGGCGCTTTGGAGTTGGAGTAAGGTACTTCATATGACTGAAGCTGGGACGGCTGTCTGAAAAGGCAATGGAATGGAGCCCAGGATGCAATACGCCAATACCTACCTTACCCTATCTGGTGTGTTTGAAGTGTTGGATCCCTGCAGTTGAGGTTGCCTAATGAAGGTGGCGTCGTTAGCATTATTCCACTGCTCCAAAAGATACCTTTGTATCACGCCTGTCCCCACATACGAGCATCCCGCACTCAGTTGTTGGACACCAACCAACTATGGGAAATCCAGAGAAAAAGAGAAGGTCGACATTGGGAATCGAATACTGCCGTCTTTCGACGCCATCTCGACTATTTCATACAAATACCTTGATTTCCCAATAGCCCTCTTCAAGATGTCTTCTCTTTCAACAGTGACACTCCCACAGACTCTAGCTTTACCAGTATTATTTTGTCATCCTGGCAATCGAACTGATCAGGTGACCCGCTAATCGCCGTATACTGCATACCACCAAAACCGCCATGAACCCAGGTTCTAATAAGTCCATCGTCCACGGGTACGAACAACCCCCCTATTCTGATTGACTTTAATAGCATTTGGATTTCGTAGGATCATCTGACTGAACCAAGCTAACATGCCCTTTCGCAGTGACGACTCATCCTCGAGCCGCAAATCTACCGGCACCGAGGACATGTTGCGTCTTCGAAAAGAACGACTTTGCCTTTTCGCACTCGACAATGAATGCCCCAATCCGATGCTGCCTCATATGATGGGCCTGTCTGGACTTTCAATCGAAAAGAGCCGTAGACGCAAGCTTCAGGAGATAAAGAGTGCTATCTCAAAAGTTGAGAAATGAAAGGCAGGACTTATTGAAACGTTGGCTGTGGCTGTAAGCAAGCGCACCTCAAAAGATTGAAATGTAAGTGTGCAAGAGACACCATAACGCGGATTCAGAAGATTCTCATACGGCGATGCAGGCGAAAGTGATTCACCGCTAGCCGCTCCAAGTAGCTGTAGCCAGAGACTGGTGCAGGCGCTCGGAAGGCGGGACACTCGGCGTCCCAAGAGATTTTAACCCTGCCGCGCACCGTTCCGGCACCCACTCCATCCGGAATTGGACTTTTACCGGGCAGGCCGGGCCACAGCTGTACCTAGTGGGGCCCAGATGCGGAGTGGGACGGCGGTACTCAGTACTCGCGCAGGAGATACCTTTTTTTTTGATGGTACAACTAAGTTCATGGCACTCGAGAAGGGCGGCCGGCACGCGGTTGTTCCATCTTGCCTGGCCAGGTTCAGGGGACAATTCCTGGCCAATCACGACCAATCAATGCAAGCCAGATGTAAGGGGATTCTCGAATACTGCCATCCTCAACGGCTCAACCGGCTGGCCTCACTTGATGATTAGGTCTACGCAGTATTGCTCTCGCTCCTCTCCATTTGGCGCCGCTCAGGTCGTTGCGGCCTCTTTTCCTTGTTCCTTAGTCCCGAACGCGACGTACCGCACGTTGACTTGTAACTTTCCTTTTCTTTTTCTGCCGGTTTGACACAGTCTGATAGACACCTTCCCCTCCTCTGAGTAACCCTATTGCCGACTGGAATTCGGAGGTTTCTGGGGGTTGTACTTGCTTTGCGATCATCACAACTTACATTCGTTTTGATTTCCACAAGCGCTAGTATTTTCTCCATAGCAACACGGAATCTGCAAAACTCTACGCTTGATGTACTCTCAACTCGTGTAGCTTTCTCCGGCTTTTCTGGCGTAAACAACCATCTGGAAGTGGAACAGGCTTTCAACGGAAATCACCCACTATGATACGTATTACACGACCCAACTAAAAGGTCATCGCTGTGCTCCAAACTCACTTGATCCAATGTAGCGATTCCAATGCTGGTGGAAAGCAGGTGAGGGTTACATTTTAACTCCCTTGGCTAGGCTGTCCGCGTGTGGAAACTGTTATTGCGTGTGAAGTGCCTGAGGTTACCTGGCAGCGCGCTGTGGGTAAGTACGTGCCGCTCCTCGCAACGCGTACGAAGAGCGGAGGTAACCGGGTGGAGGACCCGAGGCTTGGACAAGCTGTGCCGGCCCCGGATGGGATCAGTGTAGTAAGCAGCGCATAGTCACAGGGGGGGTGTAGCGACAACACCCCCACTTCACAGGTTTGGACGCAACAGGAGTCCGACAATTTGCCTCTTGCCGCACCTTAGTGCACACCTGTATGTATGTACCTAGTGAGGAGCACTTGCAGGTGGTATCCACGGGCAGCCAGTGCCGCCACTCGACAACTACCTTAAGCCCCAATGGCCTCTGGGGTACGTACCTGTTCTCACCACTACCTACCTCGTTGCAGGTCTCATTCTACCTACGTTGTGCCATCATGGTCAACTTCGAATTCCCATAAGGACGATGGATGTCCGCGGCATTTTCTCAGTCGTGGAACTCACATTTTCATACATTTCGAAATCGTGTTTCGATCACCTTTGTATTTGCTGTTGTCCAATGGGCGTTCTTTCCCAAAACACTATTTTCATATCCAGCACACTGTACATCTTAGTACTTACCTCGGTACATTGCCAGCATGTACGCAGCCTCAAACCGAGCTACTGTCAACGGGTATATCATCCGCCCTATCCCACTTCATACACCTACCTAAACGCCCTCATATCTTTGACCAGTCTCCTCTCTCCATCAAAGCTAATGTTCTGGTTCATTAAGGAACATCCCTCCTCCCCGGACTGCGGCTCAAGTCCTGCAAGAGCAGCAGCTTCGACAAACCCGAATCCAGTCCTTCCTCAGCGACAACAGCGGCCCCAATACCATGCTTTCTCAAGCCACCACCTCGGCCGATGAGTCCATAGCCAGGCGTCAGACCGAAACAGCCCGCAAGATTGACGACATCACCGCCGGTCTCAGCGGCTGAAATGCATCAATGAATTCCTGAAAACCTTTTGAGTTTTGGGTGTCGGTAGAACACGCCTATCTATAACATCCCGCCAAGTGCGTGCACATGCTTCTGACATGAGAGATACAAAACTGACAGGTGCGCCAACCAGACCTCGACCAACCATGAGACTGCAAACTACAACACAAACCTGTACTCGGATCCGACCAGGAGTCTTGAGCAAGGCTCGCCTGCTTACACCGGTTGGGCGGATCCTGGCCCCCGGGAAGGCCCACCCTACCCGAGAGCACGTGCACTATTCGGCCCCGTCGCTTCGGATCCGGAAAGCCAAATAACTGGAGAACGGTACCGGGGCGGGAAAGTTTCGTGGCAGGCAGGTTTCGTGACAGTCCTTGTGCACATCACACAAAAGCTGGCGCGGACACATCTAAGCTTATGTGTACCACACCACTACCTTGCAGTATGATCGGTACTTGCAGCAAGTTTCGTACATCTGGATGTCCCTCCCACGTCGCGGTATTCCATTGGCTGCGCCGCTGCGCGAGCCCATCAAATGGTTGCAGCCAGCCAGACAGGGTGTGTCGGTTGCCTTACACATTCCCACCCCAGTACCATCCGTTAGGCGCCCCGGCAGCACCTCGCAGACGGGAGAAGTACTAAACGGATGGCATTCCCCTCCCCCCCTCGAACCTTCCCAGATTGACCTTTCGTCTCTCTATTTTCCTATTCGATACGTTTCCTCCCGTACACGCCTCCTCGACCCCTCGAATTCGAACCAAACCCTTACCATTCATCGGAGATTTTCCCACACTACCTTAAGGTAACCCCCAAAAAGCCACCACCACGGGTTGCTACAGGCGACGACCCTGTCAAAGCGCGCCTCTACCTCTTCCCGAACCCCGCCGACTTCGAAATACCTGCATGCGAATCGATCTACACAACGTCAAATCGAGGTGCAGATGTCACGGGTTGGAGAAGAACGTTCATTGGCTGATGCATGGTGGAGCATTACATTGGGTGGTGGGACCTCTTCAAAGAAACACAGTAAAGCTATATGCATGCGATTAACATTAGATAATACAACAAAGAAATTGAGCCGGCCCTCTGAGCCCCCCTTCACACCAAAACGCCGTGGATATCATGCAGTGCCTATAGTCATTCAGTCGTTAATATTTTGTGTTGGTCCAGCTCATGAGGCCCTGGTCTCCCGCAGAGAGAGGATGTAGGGCAGATCAGTCGAGTCCGTCCGCGTCGCGAGTCTAATGACGGAGCCCGAAGCGGAACTTCCTGATGCCCTCGACCGCAAACTGACACTAGATGACGAATGATTTGGACCATACGCCGGCCGAGTCTGGGCGAAGCTATTCATGCTGGAGGATCTCGATATGGCTCCTCTTAATGTACCCAATGGGGTAGCCGGCGCGGTGCGATATTGAGCCCACGTATTTGCAGAGGAGTTGCGCGCGTTGACGGTCGGCGCTCTCCTAGTATAAGAGCCTTGTGTGCTCTGTGTCGCAGACCGGGATAAGCTGCGTGGAGTGGTAGGATTTGTGGCCATGGGCGCATCATTGTCGATGTCGCTTTCTGAGCCTTCGCTGGGCTCGTCCAAGGGACCGAGGACTGCCGGATCTAGCGGTCGCATGCCGCGCAGTATCGCAGCAAACAAATGCATCAATTCGTGAAATTGGGCGTTCGAAATAGCCCGCGTAGAGAAGCGCGCATGTTCGTAGGTGGAGAGGAAATCGGCGGTCGTCGCATTAAGCGAAATTACCCCCAGCTCAGCAAGGTGGCCAAGGTAGTCGCGCAGACTCATGGGTAATGGGCGCTGCAGCAAGGCCACCGCATCGGCATCGAGCATCGGTGGTTGACTGAAAGAGGTCGGATCGGGAGGCGCCAGTGTCAGGGCCTTTGCTTCGATGAGGTTCGGGAGCTCGGAGAGGACGGTGCTGTACTGTAGATCCGGGAGGTCTAGTGTGTTGGGTGATGACCAGCCGTAGTGTTCGATTTCGCCCCAAACCGGCCTTCGAGGAGGTAGCGCAATGCCAGTCTCCTTTTCTGTTGTTGCCGGCTTTTTCAAGGTCGGTAGCTGAAAGCGTTTCCTTGCCGCGCTACCGCCAGAGTTCTGCTTTTCGACCAGTACCTCCTCCATATCGCCACCCAACAAATTCGTCTCAATGCGCGGCCTTGCGTCATAGGCAATGGCTGCGCTGCGCTTCAGGTCGGCTGTGATCATTTCGTGAACCTTCTTGTTCACGTCGCCCTTCTCGATAGGAACCCATGGCTTCGGGATTGATGCGAGGATCGTCTTGTTGAGATACAGTCGCGTCGCGTAGATGAAGGATACGATTAAAGTGGTGAGGACCAGAGCGGCGGCAATGATCCATATGTTATATGGCTGGTTGTTCGAATAGGCCTGGTATATGGTGTCGCCGGGGGTGACGAGGAGGAGAAGGGCGAGGAGGAAGCATAGGACGAAGTAGAAACTTCCGTAGATAAAACGGAATATCGCTCGTGGGGAGAACATCGGGGGCGATTCGAAAGGGTTTCCCAGCGTTGAGGATTCAACCCGGGAAGCGACGAGAATGCTGGTTGAGGATCATGGACCGACGAGCCAGTGCATGAGGTAATGGAGCAAACCGGAAAAGCATGGCTGGGCGGAAGAAAAAGCCTATGCGACGAGGTAGAATGTAGCTGTAGCTAGGCTAAGAAGAACAAGTGTGAAGTCTAGACATTACATAGGGGAGAAAAGGGTATAGTACGGTGGAGGGAGAGAATGGAGGTTGGTGAATATGTAAGTAGACAAGAGAAAGGTGGAGGTTGCGCACGCAGATGCGTGAAGGTGACGACGAAGAAGATGACGGACGGGGGAAGCGAGAGGTTGGTTGGGGGGCTTTCATTTTGTTTTAGCAGTGCCTTCCCGGCCACAAAGCAACAAAGCTCAGGTGGGGGTTCCTCCATGCGGACCCCTGTTGAATTTTAGGAAGGCTTTCTATGCTCTAATCCAAAATCCGGTTTAGCGGCACCAGCGGGAAGGCGGCAACGGGCACTAACTTTTCTACATTCCAGGCGCTCAAAGACAGATGCACAATGGGATGGGACGGAATGGGAAGAGAGGGGAGTCTTCGGAATGGAGGAACCTATTTTTTACCTGCCGTGACGCCGCGTTGGCCTTGGGAAAGGCATAAGCCCCATGACTAAGAAAAGGTAGCGTCTGCTGTCTTACACGTGCGCCAGTGCCCAGCATCCAATCGTCTCGTATCGTTGCTCTCGACTAGCTCAAACCGATGAGCTGACGCAGGCAAGGCCGGTTTGTGCGCCTCACTTAACATGTGATGGGACCGTCAATCAGCCCTTCTGTTGATAAAACCATGGTTTTGCTGCAATGTTTTACTGCCTCGTGAAATCTGACTATGATACACGTCGTTATGCCGTTATGCGTGCCTGTTTTGCCTCCCAAACGCCCCTCACAAATTACGGTTGCACCGTGACACCACATATGCCAAAGCCTGTGACTAGCGGGCTTGCTGCATCTCGGGTCCTTGGGATCTGACTTCACTCGTGGGAAGTATCTGTTGGGCTGCCGCCTCCTTGGCCAGTCTGATATCCGTGCGAGTCAACCTCAAGTCGCTGCTGTATCGTTCAAACTCCGCAATCACTTGGGCCAAGCCCGTCTTCAAGGCTGCAATCACTGCTTCCACCTCGGGCGCAGTTCTATCCTTCTCAATATCGGTCCAGTGAACGGGAAAGCTGTCCTTGAATGCCTCAATCTTGGTGATGACGGTTGTAAAGGTGCGGATGATGGTAGGAACATCCTTTTGTACCCTGCCGTAGTTATCATCATTGAGACTGTGAACGGCCAACAAGCTGAGCACATCAACAGCGTTGACGTACTGGCTCAGTTCTGAGTACGGCGTTCCGAGGATAACGGCGGTGAGGCGGTTGCGGAACTCTTGGCGAAATACCCAGCCAACGTACTCGTTGCCAATAACCTTCAGCGCCCATGTCTGGAACTGGTTCATCAGTTGAGGAGAAGACAGCGCCTCTTGCTGCTCCTTGCTCAGAACCTTGTCACGGGCCCCGCGCAGCGTCTTCTTCGCGATAGGGCTCAGCTGCGACACTGGTGAATGGCCGGGGTGGCTTCCCACCTGGGTGAGGGCCTTTTCCAGCTCGCCGCGCATCGTCTTGTTCGCGGGCTTGCTAGTGAAAATAGGGTCCTCCTTCAATGGCGCTGAAGACCGAGCTCGGACTTCCGCAGTTGGCGCTGGGGCAGCCGGCACAGCCGCGGGCTTTCCGTACTGATCGATTCTTTGTTCGATACTCTTGATGGTAGTCAGGCAGTAAACGAATATCTGAGACCACGTAGAACCATCTTTACGGTCGATATCCATGAAGATGGCCTTGCGTCTGCCTTCTTCGTTACGAGCAATGTATGCCAGTTCCCAGAGGGCAAAGCACTGTCACTGTTAGCTTGAGGATTGGTGCATGCTGCCTGATTGTACACTTACCCGAACGGAGTCCTTCTTGCTCTTAAGACCATTCAGAAGACTGCCGTTTGGATCCTTGGATTCACTCGTGAGAGGCTTGCCGTTCTTGAGAGGCGCCTTGACCATAAACGTCGAAAACGCATGATTGGCTGTCTTCCAGATGGCGGTGATCAGGAAGCCAGCAACCGCGCATCGGAACATCAAGTAGATGTCTCCGGGCCACTGAGGCGGAAGCATGTTGGTTTTCGGAAGGTTATAGAAAGGTCGCAAGAAGAACAAAGCCCAGCCCCAGAAGAACGATCGCAATGCCATGAAGTATACCACTCCGGCGACAATAGTGGTGCTGATACTTCTGACGCCAGACTGGATAAGGATCGCAGGGACTTCGCCCAAGACCTTATTCAGCGAAGCATCCCCAGAAACCTTGACTTCGCCTCCCTCAGACCGCGCGACATCGATGATGAGCTTGTCTTGGTCTTGGTAGAAGTGGAAAATCGACTGAACAGCGGCGCTGACGGCCATGTAGCAGAAGAAGATCAACGTTCTCTCGTTCACGCGGGCGCGGTCCCCACTATAGTATGTGACCCATCCCAAATTGGCGCTCTCCGGCAGGGCCCAGAGGTAAACATGACTGAATAGCGCGCTCGAGAACCCGTAGAAGAGGAAAGCCTCGAGAGTGTGAATGCTAAAAAAGAATTGCGCGAACGCGTGGAAGGTCGAGTTGGAGGCGCGGGCGCCGACGTGGTACTGGGCAATGCGCAGGATCAAGATCGAGAGACCGCAGGTGAAGAGGAACAGTGTTCGAAAGCCCGCGGGGCCAATGGGGAACCAGGACCAAAAGTCTACGAGAGGCTAGTTAGTTGCAAAGCTTCGCAAGCATGCATCTTCAACGTTCATCACTCACAAGAGCTCCAACCCGAGAGGAGGATGGCTTGCAAATAAGAAATAGCAAGCAGAATAGTAGCGGTAGAGGAAAATCGCCTGTGCAGCGCAGGCTGCAGAAAGTCCTTATACGGAGCCCTTCTGACTGTTGCCGGTGCCATGCTGAAGGTGCATGGTCATCGGGACCGAATGTTTGGGAGGCTGAGGTTTGGCGAGGCTGCACTGGGACTTGTGACGGAGCCAGGATCTGGAAGTAAATAATGTAAAAAACTCCAGTACAACAACACGCAGCTCCCGCTTGAGCTTGCTTGAGGTCCAGGGGACCCGCTCTGCACGCGGACTGAGCCACATGTATCACGTGGAGATAACACAATCAGGCACCACTATTGCGAACAGGAGCTGATTGGACGGAAGGTGGCGCCCTTACGTAGTGTTCCAGCCACAGCCGACGACGACATGCAGGTTCCTGACCATCATTACGAGTCTATCTTCCGCAGACATCCTGACTGATACTTACTGGCCAAATAAACACATCCGTGAATCACAGCGGCGCCGTTCCTTTAGTCCGATTCATTTGTGAATACTTTGCCCTCGAAATTGCAACCATGTCGTACGACCAGTTATCTTCGCTCGAAGCCGGCCGATCGGGTCGTCAAGGCGGATACACCGATGATCCCGAGTTCAAGCAGCTTCAGTCCCAGTTGACCAACAAGATCTTCAACCTGCGGCGCAACATCCAGCAGCTGACTACTGATGTCAACATTCTCGGAACGAAGCGCGATACTCCCCGTGTCAGAGAACGAGTTCACGACCACCTCGAGAAGACCCGCGATCTGTGCAAGGAGATTGGAGATGGCGTTAAGAAGCTCCAGACGTGGGACGATCTGACCGTTCGTACTCCACAGACTACTTGCGCAAAGCCGTATACTAATAAGCCGTGCGCATAGAAACAACAAAAGTACGATCAATCCAGAATCTCGACCGACTTCCAAAACGTCCTGCAAGAGTTCCAAGACATCCAGCGCAAAGCACTTGAGAAACAACGAGCGTCCGTCACAGCTGCGCGCGCAGCGACCGAAGGCGAGGGAGCTGATGCGGCGGCTGGATCCGAGGAGCGTCTCGAGCTTCAACAGCAGCAGGAGGTCAGCCGCCTCGCATCACAGGACGAAGTGGACTTCCAGGAAGCGCTCATTGTCGAGCGTGAAGAGGAGATCCGAAATATTGAGCAGGGTGTCGGCGATCTCAATGTGTTGTTCAGGCAGGTGGCTCAGATTGTGACCGAGCAAGGCGAGCAGCTTACTTCCATCGCGGATAACGTGGAAGACGTGCGGGACGATACCCGGGGCGCTCAAATAGAGCTCCGCCAAGCGGCCAGACACCAGAAGGCGGCTCGCAACAAGGGGTGTTGTCTGATGCTCATCCTGGCAGTCATCCTCACCATTATCATTCTCGCAATTGTATTGGACTAGCACGTCATGGGGGTATTGGGGGTTTCTTTATTTGATTGCTGTTTCTACATTGGCGTTGTGGTGGCGTTTCGCGAATATTGTACATCAGGCGCCCAAGTACAGCTAAGGATACAATCTGGGACAGCGTGTCTTCTTTCTCTATCATTGCCATGGCTTTTCTCCCCAAGACTACAACCCCCGCAAGTGTAAGCGCTCGTAATGAGGGGATGGCTTCCAAGGGTCGTGTTTGCCGCGTACTTTGTCCATAATCTTGACAGAGATCTGGGAGAAGATCATTGAAGAAATCCAGTAGACAAATATGCCTGCTGGCAAGTTGATACAAAGTGCGGGAATCAAGACTGCCGTGAGAAGTAGACCTCTTTGGAGGCGAATTCGCCATCTCAGACCCGGAGGCACATTCTGCTCAGACGTTGAGAGGTTGAATACATACTTCCTCATTTCGCCTCTAGGCATCGTTAACCAGCCCAGAGTGCCCATCAGCATAGCAGGCAACAATATTGTTGGATCGGCTACCGTGAGGTCGGTAAACCATAGCACGCCACCATTTGCCATGCCTTCCGCAACATAGCTTAGTGAATCCAGGTTGCTAGATACAGCATCAGCAGACGAAGAAGCTGCTGTTGATGCCTGTTCCGTAACGGAGGTCGAGGCGACACTGGCTGAAACCTCCTGGTTCTTGTAGTTGCCAG